GGAGTCCTCAGGAAGCGCTAGGAGCATCCTTTAACGGAGGTACCCAGTCGTGGTGCCAGGCGATCCGTTACAATTGGTGGCAAGCGACGGGATCATTTCCACAGCCCAGAAGGACAGCTATAATACAACACCAGTTCCTGGATTACAAATTGAGGGCAACGCCAGTACCCGTACAGCGACCCTATCTACAAAAGAACCAACTTCAGCAGCGCAAGCATGGCACCCAGCTACACTCAGGAGCAGTATGACAGAGAGTTTACCATGCGGCTGGCTTTCTTTGGACCCAACCCCCCGGAGAAATACGTGCAGCTCGTAAGGAGCCAGGTAGACGAGTACCTGCAGTTCATGGCAGATCCAGCCAAAGGTATCGGCCGCCCTATCCGGTGGCAGAGTGCTATACGGGGACTCAAAGGTGAACCCCAGGGAGCTTAAGGTGCAGTCCTTCCTCCCCAGCGGCAGTGTGTATCCCAGGGAGCTGAAGGTGCAGTCCTTCCTCCCCAGCTGCAGTGTGTATCCCAGGGAGCTGAAGGTGCAGTCCTTCCTCCCCAGCGGCAGTGTGTATCCCAGGGAGCTGAAGGTGCAGTCCTTCCTCCCCAGCGGCAGTGTGTATCCCAGGGAGCTGAAGGTGCAGTCCTTCCTCCCCAGCGGCAGTGTGTATCCCAGGGAGCTGAAGGTGCAGTCCTTCCTCCCCAGCGGCAGTGTGTATCCCAGGGAGCTGAAGGTGCAGTCCTTCCTCCCCAGCGGACAGTGTGTGTTCTTAGGAGAGGAGACAGTTGGTCCCTCACCCCAGCGGTCAAGTGAGTCCCAGGGAGCTGAAGGTGTCATCCTTCCTCCCCAGCAGCAGAGTGTCCTGCAGGGAGCAGAGACCATCAGTCTCGCACCCCAGCAGCAGGACAAAATATTGAAAGGGGAGACAGCTGGTCCCCGTCACCACCAGCAGAGAGAATGTCAGGGAGAGGAGCCTGCTACCCCCTCTCCCCAGTGGCAGGTTACAGTTCAGAGAGAGGAGCTTGATACACCCTCTCTCCAGCGGCAGCCTAACCCACCAAGGGGAGATGTTACACTCCCCAACAGTGCAGATGGGACCGTAGTCTTTGCACTTGCAGCACAAGGGGTAGGGACGGTCAGTCCTGTCCCCCAGCCCCAGAGCTGTGTACCCAGAGGGGAGACGGTCGATCTCCCCCTCCCACAACCAGGCTCCAACCAGGCTACTTCAGTGGTAGCGCTGGCACCAGGGCAGAGTACCGCTGGTCTCTGCCCACTCAGCAACCCACCAAGGCAGTCTACCAGCTCCCCGCACAGCCGTGGTGAGGAACCTGGACCTGGACAAGCTGCTACTTTATCCAGGTGGTGTAAACATTTATTGTGGGTGGGAGGTACTGCTGTTTATGCTTCTCCGGTTCGGTGGTTGTGGTGTCTGCTGCAGTGCTTGGAGTCCTCAGGAAGCGCTAGGAGCATCCTTTAACGGAGGTACAAAGTCGTGGTGCCAGGCGATCCGTTACAATTGGTTTTGGTAAAATAGCAAAATTGGATCTTTAGCTAGCAGACAAGGCCCTGGCTATGTTTTCTTTCTGTTTGGCACTCTGTCAGTTTGCGGTTTATTTACTGAAGACAAAATTTGAATAAATTTGAACTAAATTACAAAATTTAGGGAAAATAGCTGAACTGGAAAAAAAATGTCCCTTAGGACCTTGCGAGCAAGGCCTGAGAGTTGCAAGTGTCTTTTTAAAGACAAGAGCTATAACACTGCCGGCGGATGTGGATACCTGCCTGGAAGAAGGGCTGCAGTGTATGAGGCAGAGGGGACGATAACTGCCTGGAAGGAGAGCTGCAGCCTGGTCGGGTGGAAAAGCACCAGAAGGACCTCAGTCAAGCTTCGGTGACTGGGGCTGCAGTGTTCCAGGGTCCATGCAAGCGGCTAGGAAGCAGTCTGGGCGCAGGTACTCGGTCGGAGTACAGGAGCTCCGTCACACGTTGTGTCTACCATCAGCTTACAGAGCCCCAGCTCATTTCACATGATTATAGATAAAGCTGCATCACTGTAAGCTGATGGGGGACCTATTAGAGAGTAGGTAGGTTCTTGTTCGTCTTATGGAAGCACAGTTATCTTCCTCTTGCAACGTTTCTTCATGGCAGCTGGGATTAATATACTTTTTTTTTATATATAATCCTTTAGTTTTTTATGCATAGGAAATATAAACGGTCCTGTCATGCCCCAACAGCAATAGCGAGACAAGCAGGAATTGTAAGCATAACACTGCAAGGTAAATGTGGTAAACTGCACATTTTTATAGCATCATGTTAAACAAGTATGTAAGTCAGGTGTGTGTATTGAGTAAAGGGGAGAAAAGACGTGTGTCACCGTCTCACAGTACAGTTGTGAAAAGGTTGGTGTGGTAGACTAGTATGTAAGACTGGTAATATGGAGCAGGTAGCACCAAAGGGCTCAAACCCAAGAGAGTCCTTTCAGGCAAACCACGTTAGTACGTAAGTACTAATTGATTTTTGAAAATTACACAAAATGAGCAATTATGTACATTCGGACAGGTACAAGGGAGAGTGGAACTCCTTGCACCATAATCTATGCACTAGTTGTTATGATGCCTTATATTTTACCGATATGTTAGATTTAATAAGATACTAAATACATGTACGGTGTTACAGAAAAACAGACATACTGTATTCTTGTGTTTTTATTGGGAAGAAAGGACGATCGGTCTTGTTATGTGACAGTATCTCCTAATCATGTGTGTGACAGCAAACAGAAGGCAGATTGTGCACAGTAATGATTTCAGTGTCTCAGCTGCAAACGTATTAGAACCAGACGGTCACGGGTCATATGTTTCAGAATTATCCACTTTTTCCATCTATTAACCCTTAGCGTGATCATGAGGTCCATTATAAACACAAGAGGCAACAAAGTCTCTAATCAGAACTTTGTAACCACTGGTTTAGGACCCACAGCTAGACCTCAGGTATTTTCATGTAAACACTGCCTTTTCAGAAAAAAAGGCAGTGTTTACATTGCTCCCTAGGGACACCTCTAGTGGCAGTTTTAAATATATTTTAAAAAATGCAGCCCATTTGGAAATTCTCAGGATTCTAATTGGCCAGTCTAGATCTCCGTAACCTATCAAAAAAAAAGGGTACAGTGAGGGGATGTGCTGGAGAAATGAACACAGCATCGATTAGGTACATATTTTAAGGGGGCAGCATAATTCAGGTAATGAATAATGGAGTACATTTTTTTGACGACAGCCTCACATTTAAAGGCTTTAGCCCCTAAAGTCCCTCATTAACGACACCCTTAGAACAGGTATCTCATATTTGTCAAACTCTAGACGGACTACGATAAACTGTTCCCTGTAGTGGCACGGCCTTCTCTTTTGTAGTGAAGAAGATCCCTTGGATACTGGTGGAAGAGACTACTGAAGATGTTTTGTAGAATGTATTTTAGCATTATTGTACGACACTTGAAGAATGGGTGACCAAGCTAATTTTACACTCTAGGATTGGATCATCAAATATCTTTGCCTATCTTGGCAATTCAGTTTTCGACATCCTTCAATTGACTATTTAGTCAAGAAACACCAAATTAGTTATGACTTATCGAACAGGAAATTGCTTCCAAATTACCCTCGAATTTGTCTATTCAGCAATTTATTTGGAGATTTCATCTCTCATGGGTTTTGCAGACGAAATTAAAAAAAAAAATCTGTCTGCTTTTTGTTCTTTTATAAAGTTACGTAACTTTAAGAAGCATTAGTTTTCTTTCTTCTTTAGTAAATCATGCTCATATGAGTGCAGCTAAAATTCCCTCCGGGGGAGAGTTAACGGGTCGGATCCAAAATTATTCTCTTGTGGAAACAAAGAGATGTTGTAAAAACCCTAATGGACAAACAAAGTGTAGATTGTGAGTAGGATGGGATAAGTTCCTTCAAAGGATAAAATGGGTATGCAGGCGAGGGACATACAGTGTGATTATTGTGTAACCTCTATCCAACCCCAGCTGTATTTACTACCCAAAACTTGCTATGTAGTGTCACCGTGTGCGTCTTCCGGTCTTAAGCAGTAAACAAACTCTGGTTTTAAGATTTGTCCATTTTTAAAATGGTTAACTTTAAATGTCTTCGTTTTTTCTTTCTTTCTTTGTTGCGTTACTCTGTAAATAAAACTTTAATTCTTGGCACTAAGTTATTGCTATGTTTTGTTACAGACGTCTATGAAGCAAAGACCAAAAACTCATCATGTCGGTGATATACAGCGAAGTTGCGGTTGAAGATGTCTCTGGTAACAGTTTCTGGATGGTGAGACACTTCAAACACGATGATAAGCAGCAAAGACACCAGTAACTGATTAGTTCATTAATAAAGTCATGTGTTGACAACATAATTTTATCTCTTAATAAATCAGTAGTAAGACTTCAGATTAAATATTTAGTGTACCTTTGGCACCAAATTTCAAGAAGGACATATATGAATTGAGAAAAATGCAGAGGTGGGATGCGAAATTGTAAAGGTGAATGGAAGTAGGGCTGCCATCAGAAATTTTAGGGCCCCTGACACAGCTCAAGATCTGGGCCCCCTGGGCCACCCCCGAGTCCACCCACAAGGATGAAGTGTGTGTGTGTCATGGATGCAGTGTGTATAGTGGATGTAGAATGTGTGTCATGGATGCAGTTTGTATAGTGGATGCGGTATGTTTGTCATGGATGCAGTGTGTTTAGTGGATGCAGATTGTACGTTTTGTGTAATGTTTGTATGCATGCATTAGATGCAGAGTGTGTGTGTAGTGAATGTAGGTGTGTATAGTGAATGCACAGTGTGTGTTTTTGTAGTGGATGTAGTGTGTATAGTGCATGTAGTGTGTTTGTAGTGAATGTAGTCTGTTTGTATTGAGTGCAGAGTGTGTATAGTGCATGTAGTGTGATTGTAGTGAGTGCAAAGTGTGTTTAGTGAAAGTAGTGTGATTGTAGTAAATGCAAAATGTGTATAGTAAATTGTAGTGTGTTTGCAGCGAGTGCAAAGTGTGTATAGTGATTGTAGTGAGTGAAAAGTGTGAGTGTGTGTAGTGCAGATTGTGTTTAGTGAATGTAGTGTGTGTGTGTGTAGTGTAGAGTGTGTTTAGTGAATGTAGTGTGAGTGTGTGTATTGCAGAGTGTGTTTAGTGAATGTAGTGTGAGTGTGTTTAGTGCAGAGTGTGTAAAATAGGCAGGAGGGGAGTATTTTAATTTATTTGTGTATATTTCAATTCTATTCCCCCCTCCCTGCTTCTTACCTTGCCAGGGAGGGGGGAGATTGCATACCCTGGTGGTCCAGTGGCATGGTGGATTGAGACAGACGCGGTACATTGCAGAGGGGGGCCCAGCAGCACACTGTCTTCCTTTCCAGCTGCTCCCTGACTAACTCTCGCGAGACCGGCCTGCGTGCTGTGCGTAGCGTTGCCATGGTAACCCGTGGCAACGCTCTGGTGGCCGCAGGGCGCAGGAAAGTTAAACAGAGAGCAGTTGGAAAGGAGAACAGAGTGTGCTGCTGGGCCCCCTCTTCAATGTACAGGTAGCAGCGTGCCCGCAGTGCACATATATATAGCGAAAATGGCTATATATATGCACATAAGGAAGGTGGGGCTCGGACTGCCAGAGTAGTCCGGTTCCCCCCAGGACCGCCGGGCCCATGACAACCGTTATGGTTGTCATGCGCCGATGGCGGCCCTGGGTGGAAGACTTTAGTTATGAAGAGAAGTTGCATTAAAAAAAAAAAAGTATAATAATACACTTAACGCGTTTCACCATACAATGTCTTTCTCAAAAGTGTTTACAGAAGGAAGGACCAGAGCTGCTTTAAATAAGGGAGGGAAATTAACTACTGTGTGATATCATAGGTCACATGGCCAACATTAATTAACATAATATTTATAGAAAAAGGTAAAAGAGCAAACTATATACTTATACGGTGTAATATTATAAATAATAATAAAGATATAACAATGAGCCAGTAAACCTTATGAAATAAAACCACATAGATATGGACATAAAAAAGAGAAAATAAATAATACATAAAAATAACAATACATAAAAAAGATAATGCATAAAAATGATGATAATAAAAATAGAAGTGCTAAAAAATAGTTATACTCGAGAGGTGGCAATATAGAATATAATAAAATATAATAAAAAAATACTGTGAAAAAGGGTCATATTAACAGGGTTATTCCACGTATATATAAAATGAACAAAAAAAGGCTAAAA